TCACTTATTTTTCAACTTTTTTTCATTCTTTTTACACTTTTCTTCTTCTTTTTCTTTTTCTACGAATTTTTTTTCTCTCTTTTTTATTGTTGTCGTGCCCTATGGCACACAAAATATACAATGTGAAACCTTTCCACACTTGTTTTCTGCAATAATGTTACCCAAAAGGAATTCCTTCTAAGTCATGCTCCACTATACTTCAAGAACAAGGGTATGGAAAGTCCTATTCTAGGCAAGGTAAGGATAATGTGGTTAACAAAGAAAATAGGCTAAACAAGGCTCAATGAGGTTTAAACCTACAAAACAAATGACAAAGGTGGATTCGGCTATTTGGCTTTGGTTCACTAAACAACTTCATCTTGAATATGTGTTATGCAAATCAATGTCATGCTTTGAATGGAACGGGCATGAGTTCTAGTATTTAGAACTATAATGATGAAACACATTTTAAGTAGCAACCAAGCAAAGAATAATGAGATCATGCAAGGACTTTAGAAAACAAGAATGCATAGATTAATAACTCTCCAAATAAAAGTTTAGGCTCAAGTCTCTCAGGGATGTAGTGTTAGTTTGAGTTCCTTCCTTCAAGCATGTTACAAAAATTTATTTATTTTTCTTTTGTGTTTGCATGTGAATTCATAAACTATAACTAGAACCAAGCATAAACCAAAGAGCATATCAAACTTCCATCCATGTTTGTAACTTTCTTTAACAATCATGCACTTAAAAACCAAATCCTCATCATTGTGTTGGAAGGTATCCTAAGACACAAACACACAAAAACGACTCTTTTTTGAATTTTTTTCAAAACATTTTTCGATTTTTTCTTGCTTTTTCTGTTATATGACATAAAAACACTTTAAAACATACTAAAAACACTTAAAAACAGTGAGAAACAGCATTATAATTGATAGGTGAATAAAACCCACGAAAATCATTCTAAAACATCTTGTTTACCCCCCCCCTCACACTTAAATCAAATATTGTCCTCAATGTTTCACACATAAACGTACACAAAAGCAATTAAACAAACAACGAATAAACACACTAAACAGGGTAGAATAGAAACAATAAAGAGAAGGGTTTAGGAACGCAAATCTTTAATGTTGTTAAAGAGTCATGTGGTTCACCATTCACTAGGTTTTGAAAGTCATGGGTTTTAGAATTGTTTTTTAATGCATGCCTACTTTAAAGTGTTATTAGTTCGCTTATGTGTTCAAATGTTCTCACATGTTCTTAGCTAGGACAAAATTTTTCCTTCAGCCTAGCCCTGGCCCAGGCGAGTACTGACACCAGTGTAGCACACAATGAGCAAATAACGTAAATATAGTCATGCCACAGTAATTCGATAATCCTAGCCAACATAATATTATTCATAGAAATAAATTTAATTAAGGCATCGTGTAGTATTTATAATGATTTCCTAATTCTCATCATTACGACATTTCGTATAAATGTTAATCTAATTACGGCATCACCTAGAAAATTCATTATTAGATGTATATATGGAAACTAAACCAATATATATATATATATAAACAGACCCAATCACAGATATTTTGTAAAATCCCACATCACCCAAAGGTGATGATCCTGTAAGCCTTATATGTATATTTCCATCTCTACCTAGCACGAGGCATTTTGGGAGCTCATTGGCTTTGGGTTCCATGGGAATTCTGAAGTTAAGCGAGTTCGCGCAAGAGCAATCCCATGATGGGTGACCCACTGGGAAGTTATCGTGTGAGTTCCCATAAACAAAACTGTGAGGGCATGGTTGGGGCTCAAAGCGGACAATATCGTGATATGACGGAGTCAAGCCCCAGATGTGGTGTGGGCCCAGGCCGGGATGTGACAATTTGGTATCAGAGCCAATTCATGGATGGAAATATGTCGACAAAGACGTCGGGCCCCTAAGGAGGGTGGATTGTAAGATCTCACATCGCCCAGGGGTAAGGATCTTGTAAGCCTTATATGTATATTCTCATCTCTACCTAGCACGAGGCCTTTTGGGATCTCACTGGCTTCGGGTTCCATCGGAACTCCGAAGTTAAGCGAGTTCGCGCAAGAGCAATCCCATGATGGGTGACCTACTGGGAAGTTCTCATGTGAGTTCCCAGAAGGAAAACCGTCAGGGCATGGTCGAGGTCCAAAGCGGACAATATCGTGCTACGGCAAAGTCGAGTTTAGGATGTGGTGGGGGCCCGGGCCAGGATGTGACATATTTGCGAAGTCGTTGCTATTCAAACAAGTAGATATGGATTGCCGATGCTAATCGTACCTAAGCATAATAGAGACCCATTAGTAAAACTTAATTAGAACATTTGAAATTGAAGAAAAAAGACAACGGATTCGAAATCAACGCATCCTAATACGCTAAGAAGGGTCCCGAGCAAATTTTGTAAAAAGTCAATCGAGACACCCTGACAGTCAACTACGTTAAAACTTCGGAATTTCATTAAATGGATGTCAAAAATGGGTCTGGGCATCGAAATTAGCCTAGAAGGGTTTTCGAGAAAATTTGAAAAAGTCAACGTAAGGAATATTCCAGAATACTCTAAGTTCATTTAAGAAATAGGCCGGGCAGCATTAATGGGCCAAAGGCTTGGGCCGGCCCATGGATCAGGTTTTTGGGCCTTTCTCTTTTCTTTCTTGTTTTTTCTGGTTCGACTAACCCGGTTACAGGTTGCCGGATTCTGGGAATTTTGGTCGGGAAACTTCCCTAGCTCCGCTTAGCTTCGAATCTCAACTAAAACTAGCAATTTAAATACCAAATTGAAGTTCAAGAAGAGATCAAGAGAAATATACCAATATGAGGTCCTGTTGCCATGGCCGGAGTTGGCTAAAAAACGGCTCGAAGCCGTCGGATCTCTCGCCGAAAAACTAGGTTAATTTCTAAGCGTGTTTTCTGCATCAAAATGTCGCCAAAACTCCTTAAACATACCTAATCATACTATAAACCATGATCTACGAATATCTTAGGGGTTTTCGAGGCTTACCTTTGCCAGGATGACAAGAACTCACTGGAGTTCTCCATTTCCAGTTTTTCTTCGATGCGAGGTCTGAAAGTTGTTCGAGTTTGGGTTCTGGGCTTGGGAAGAGAGAGATGGGACGAGCTGGGGATGATAGTGATGTGGCTCATGCACGAGGTACGTGGTGGAGGAGCGAGAAAGCTAAGAAAGTGTATGAGAGAGAGAGAGAGAGGGTTGAGAGAGTAGTGAGAGAGAGTCTAAAGGAGATGAGAGAGAGATAGAGATGTCCGAGAGAGTGGGAAAATGATACAGGGACAAAAGGGAGAGGAGGCCTACATGGGTGGGTCCCACGAACACAAATGTCACATAAGAAAAATAATAATAAAATAATAAGGAGAAATATCTAGAATAGTGAATTTACTAAAATGCCCATTTGTTTCGTAGTTCCATAAAATCTTCATCGTTACTCCAAATTCGATTTCGTTTGCGCCCACGCATTCGTACCACTGAGTACTTCGAGAATATGGTAAATTAATAGCTCATATGCGTCATGTATAACGATCAACGAAAGTCAACAATCTCGCCACTAGGGGCTTTTTTTGTCAATTCACTCTTTTAGAATTTCTAAATTCATAAAATTAGGAACGGGTTGTCACAGTGGCTACTGCTGCTGGCATAACCACGGTACCTAATGGTGAGCCTCGAGGAGCGACTGCCTGGAGCCACATCACGATCTCATTCGGTTGGTCCATGTCCTTCAACGTAGGGGGTCCCATTGGTTATAGTTTGTAAATTTCCTACCATCGTAGTCGTGGATCTTCAAATGAAAGAAGTTGAAAGTGAGAGTCTTCTTCGAGTCTTTGGATCAAAGCTCTCAATGATAGCACCAATTTGTGGATGCAAATTTTCGCATTCCTTTGATTGACGAATCTGCATCTGCAAAATAATAATACCTAAGATTAAGGCCAAATGACTCACGCTTCCACAATGAATGTGGGGGAGGGGAGCTTTGACCGAAGAATCTCCGAATCCAAAGTTAGAATTCTTAAAAGAAAGTGTTTGAGTGTTTGTGGGTAGCGAAAGGCCTCCTCAATTTTGGAGATAAATGGAGTATTTATAGGAGATGAGAGAAGCATGGGCCGACCCTCTAGGGCAGGCCCCATGTGGTATTTTGGGTGGAATATTCCAAGATATTTGTATAGATCCTATGTGGTATTTTGGGTGGAATATTCCAAGATATTTATGTAGATAAATATCTTGGAGTAATTAGGTAAATATCCTAAATTGATGGGACTAGGATTACTTACTTGAAAGAGATCTTCTCTGCTTAAGAATGTATTTATGATAAGAATAAGGAATTATCCTATCATAAATACCTTTGACTTTTCCTACGGGCAGGGGTGCCTTGAGCAGTCGTTGATCTCTGCCTACTCCACCTCAGTTCCGCATGGTGAATGAGCTGCTCCCTGCTCATTTAATAGGGGTAGTCTTGTCTTCCTTGGAAAATAATCCATGTGTCAGCTCCATGATTTTTGAGATTATTTTTTGCTCCACAACACCCTTCACAACTCTATCTCTTTGCTTCTCTTTCCACGCGAATACAACACTCAACTATGCTTCTCTCTCTCTCTCTCAAGCAAAAACACACTCAGTGAACCAAAAAAGATTAAAGCATAGGATTTATCGAGTCGCAATCGAAAGTCAGCTTCAATCCACCTGAATTGAACACCCTCACCCTTCAACAGCTCCCTCTCTCTGCCTCTCTTTCCTCGCGAAGGTGACCCTAACCTCTCATTCTCTCTGACAAAAACACACCAATGAACCAAAACAAAAAAAGTAAAGGTATGGGATTACCTGGTCATAATCGAAACAGAGCTTCAATCCACTTGAATCGATTGCCTGGTCTCCCTCTCTTTGCCAAAAACATACCGAATGAGTAATATATAAAAAGGTTTTCAATTGCAACGGGTTACAACAACAAAGTTCTATCCTAAGCTCGTCAGATCATGACCATTGGATTTTGGTCCGCACGCAAAGTCCGCACCTTAGAAACCCCAAATATAATTACTAAACTTTTTATTGGGTGCGGATTTGGGTGTGAGCTTCCCATCAGCCCGTTAGGTCCATACAGAAATCACCTAAGGCCATTATATAAATACCCTCAGTTACCCGCACACACCACTTCCTGTAGGTCTAGGGTTTTTCATTATTCAATTCAGAGTAATCAAACCCTAGCAATGGCGACTCCCGCAATCGAGTCAGTGCAGTGTTTTGGCCGCAAGAAGACCGCTGTCGCTGTCACATACTGCAAGCGCGGCCGTGGCCTCATCAAGATCAACGGCTGCCCAATCGAGCTCGTCGAGCCCGAGATCCTCCGCTTCAAGGCCTACGAACCCATCCTACTCCTCGGACGACAGCGCTTCGCCGGTGTCGACATGCGCATCCGCGTCAAGGGAGGCGGTCACATCTCCCAGATCTACGCCATCCGCCAGAGCATCGCCAAAGCTCTCGTCGCTTTTTACCAGAAATATGTGGATGAGCAGAGCAAGAAGGAGATTAAGGACATTCTGGTCAGGTATGACAGGACCCTCCTTGTTGCTGATCCGAGGCGCTGCGAGCCCAAGAAGTTCGGCGGTCGTGGTGCTCGTGCTAGATTCCAGAAGTCTTACCGTTGATTTGGGGCAAATGGAAGGCGAAAGATGGACAGGTTTAGCTTCTTCGTTTCGGTTTATGGTTTAAGGGTTATTGACTTTGTTTTAAGAAGTTGGAAGTTAAATGGGTATTTTATAATTTTCCAGAATTTTGATCATCGAGACTTTGTTGTTGTTTTTGAGTATGTTGGATATTGAATGGTTACCATATTAAGTATGACATCCTTCAATTAATTACTAGTTTATTTTGCTGCTGCGTGGCTTCATCCTTTGGATAAACTAGTGTGTTTTGGCTTGCTTAAAATGCTTAATCTTTAGGATTTCTATTTGTGTGGCTTAGTATGCTTTAGCATATGTATAATGTTTTCGTTCTGGGCAATGCCGGCCCCCGGTCTCCTATGCTTTACCATTTATACAATGTTTTTGTTCCAGGCAATTTCGTCCCCGGTCTCCTATGCTTTACTGTTTATACAATGTTTTTGTTCCAGGCAATGCAGTCCCCGGGTTTTTTGTGATTCATTAGACTCGCCGTAAGTTTTGTGATGTATAAACTGTCTGAGGCGGAAATTGGTTTGTTTTGATGGATGTCGATAGAAGAAAGATTTTGCATTGCAATGCATGGTTTACTTAGGTTTGGTCTATTTTGGGTACAAAAAGTTTGTAGTTTGATTATCAAGATGTCATTGATAAGCCTTTTGACACTGGTTCGTGCATATCTGATGTTATGAATTGATTTTGTATACTATTTCACCATGTACCATATATGTCTTTGTTATCGTACATGCCTTAGCTTTTGCAGTTATGTGTTACACATGTGAGCAATGTGGAAAAAATCTTGAGCAGCCTGGAAAATAGAAACAAACCAAACTTGAGCAAAGTTATTTTCAATTTGGCTCGATCGACCTTACGAAGTATGTGTGATGGTCTTCATATGAGTAATCTACACTTACAACCTATTTGTACCATCATTTGTACAATCTCTCTAAAAGAGGTAGGGTTTGCTACGCAAATAGCCTCATCTTTGAAATAGAGAGATGATACAAATAGGTGGTAAGAATAGTATTTCTTATTTCAAAGAGATTTCGGGTGTAGAGAGGAATTTTAGTCTCACAAAATGTTATTAGCTAAATTGTCAATTTGTCCATGAACTATCATTTAACTTTTGATTTCCCCCTGAACTTTTTAATTGGAAAATTAAGGACTTAAAACTAATTTTTTTGGTCGATTTCCCCCTTACCGTTAGTTTTTCATAGATTTCATTCAAATTAACATTAATTTTTTTCATGTGCACACCACGCGACTCTCCTTTGTGCACAAAAGCATCATTTCGTTAGGTTTTCAGACACAAAAGTTATAGAATCACACATATTTGCATTGGTTTATATTTTAGAAATCTAAGGTTTTCAATTATTTAAAAAAATGAAGCGATCAAACTATTCTCACGTGTTGTGCACATGCTTCAATTTAATAGAAATTTAGATGGGATGAATGAAAAATTAACAGCAGGGGCAAATCGGCCAAAAAAATTAGTTTAAGTCCTTAATTTTCTAATTAAAAGGTTTAGAGAGAAATCGAAAGTTAAGTGATAGTTCAAAAGGCAAATTGACAGTTTAATCAAATGTCAAATGTTATCTCTGTTAGATTGTCACAGCCCGTCCCTGATTTTAAGAGTTTTTAAAGTTTAATAAAGGATTTTATAAAAATGCCCTTTGAGGCACATGCATTATTCGAGGTTAATCGTTGGGTCGTGCCATCTAAGATTTGTTCTCTTGTCATATCCTCGTAGTACTTGTTGCTACGGAAGCGTGGGCGCAGACGGTTCGTGATTTGGAGTTACGGTTAAAGTTTTACGGAACTCTAACCTGAGAAGTACTTTTACATTGGTTAATATATATATATATATATATATATATATATATATTTATATATTTATGTGTTATTATTGTTATTAGTTGTTATTAGAAATGAGAAAAGAATGAGAAGGCATCGGGAGGAAAGGAAAAACAGAGAAAAAGAAAGATTGGGCAAAACAGCCCAATCGGAGAAGGAGTTGGCAAATTACGAAAGGAGAGAGGAAGGGTTGGCCAACCAGAGAAGAAAGCAGGAGGGAAAGGAGGAAGAAGAAGAACTAGCTAACCGGACCTACGACCCGATTCCATATTACGACCCGGTTCTTGACCTGGTCGTATCTCCTTCGTCCGAGGTCCATTGGAGGTGATTCCGGTGTCTATGGAACGTTCTCGTCGAGCCCAACATCCCTGTGGTGGTAGATTATCAAATTTCTTATCAAATTTATTCGAATTGAAGCCGTACACCCACGGTGGTTTCGACGGGTTTTTCCTTTCTCCCGTGAATTTAGAAATGATTCCTTCCAATTACCACCACCATTATACTCCTTAGAACCCAGGAACAAAGCCCATGCAGTGGTGGAGGCGTCGGAGCAAGTTTGAAGGCCGAATCAAATCACACCCAAAACTAGGGTTCTGACGGGTTTTGATGAAATTGGAGCCTTTAAAGGACAAATTGGCCTTGGCCTCAGGTATAAAGTTTACTCTACTCATTGAGATCTTCATTTCTGTATTTTTTGAGAATTTTTTGAAATAGTTGGATTTTCCGGCGAGCCGAGGCGGCCGACCGCCACCCGCGGCGGCCCGTGCGGCGGCGCGTGGCCAGTGGCCCGCCAATGTCATTCTTAGCATGTGTTTAATGTTCTAGGTTCAGTTTTGATAATTGATTGACGTAAGTTGAGTAATTGAACCTAAGTTCGTTACGATTCATGGTTAGGTGAAAATGTGAATTGATGATCCGACGGTTGGATCGTCACCAAACTTTGATACGTTGTAATACGTAATATTTGAGGATTATAGGAACTTAGGGATTGGGAATCCGATTCCCGGATCTTCCGGAATTGGAGTTGTAAGTTCATAAAATAGAATGTTAACCATCACTTGGTTTTGACAATTGACGGAGATCCGACCGTTGGATGGTAAGGAAATTTTAGGATGTTGTTCTAGAGATATATTGTGGACCTCTTGAAGTTATGGATTGGAAATCTGAGTTGCAGATCTTCCGGATCGAACTACGTAGTGACGTGTTTTATATAAATATATTCTATTGATATGATTTCTGAGGTTGATTTGATGATTGTTCTAGGCACCGATCGTCATGACGCCTTGATGTGTTGTGCTAGGGAGTTGTAGGGCGAACTCCAGGTGAGTGGGCAGTATTTTCTGTATTTACCTATATACTATTGATTTTTCCCAGAAATTGAATTTAAATGAAAGTATGTTTTAAAATGTCATGCATACATATGTGAATTATATGAATTAGTATTTTGTGCATATATATGTTAAACGGTGCTGTGAACGCACAGGTGAGTATCAAGTGAGTTTTATGTTAATCATGTGATTTATTGTGATGTGAATTGTGTTGAGAGGTCATAACTTGCACTCATGGTGTTAGTGCTTATTTTATTCACCCTGCACCACACGCTCACCTTGGATCTAAGTAGGTGCATGTCGTACAGGCCATTAGAGGGTTCCGACATGTCGTACAAACCATGAGGGTTCCGACTTGTCGGTGAACTTAGATTTTTATACAGCTATTGATGAGAGAAGCACTAGAGCGTATTATTACACCATTCTTATTGTATAGACTACTTTAGGTAGTTCCGATTTATGTGCAGAGTAGTGCCGTACAGGTCACAGTTGGTGACTCCGGTTGGATTGGATATTGAGCTATAGAATTAACCGTACAGGACCAGCTGCAGGGTCTCCGATTGATTCCTTATTTCACCTGTTATAATGTTGCATCCTTATTATGTTTTGATGCATAGCATGGCATATTTTCTTGAAAAGTGTTAAAGACTTGTGATTTGTGTTTTGAAATTATATATGGCTATATATATACTATTTTCTGGGAAAGTATACGGGTTTTACAGCAAGGGGTTAGAAATGTTATTAACTGAAATATTTTCGAAAAGCTTTGTTTTACTGACCCACTCAATCTTGTTTTGCGCCCCTCCAGGTTCTAGTTAGTAGTGTTGGTGGCTCACGAGGATTCCCATGGTGTTCTGACAGAATTCACAAAAGTAGGACTCACCCTCGGGTGGTACATCTTAGTAATTGTATCTTTAAAGCTTCCGGACTGTGTAAATGGTTACGTCACTCTCATGTGACGGCCAGCATACCCTCATTCGGGACGGGGTGTGTCAATTGGTATCAGAGCCTAGGTTGCAATCCTGGACATCTTGAGAATTTCCTAGTGTCTTCTGTCAGAACTATACCGCCTCTTAGTGAGCCACGTAGTTCAGATGAGCCTAGTTTCCCTGATATAGCATTTTAGGGGAAGCTATTGCTAATGTGATTCAGTCTGTTATACGTCCTTACCCAAAGGACTCCTTTTGAGAATGGTTATAAGTTGAATCTGAATCACTTTAAGGAAATGAAAGACCGGAGGGAGCAAATCCATGGTTTAATCATTTGGAAAAGGCGTTTCAGATTCTGCAAGTTAAGGGAATCTTTCTTTTGAAAGGTAGGTCGAGATGACTACCTGGTTTCTGAGTATTGAATTTGCATCCTGGTGTAGGCAAGAGTCTTATTTGATGTTATCGGAGGACATAAGTGTTTGAAAGTTGTTTAAAGAATTGTTTAAGAAAAAATTTATTTCACCGACATATATTGATGATAAGAAGCAGAAGTTCACAAATTTGAGACAAGGAAAGATGACGGCGAATGAGTATTATAGAAAGTCTACAGACTTGCCTCGTTTCCATTCGGAAGTTGTTGCTAATCCGGTCGAGTTGTTATGTCGTTTTAGGATAGATAATAAGAAGACGTGGCGTTCTTCGGCGACCACTATTCATTGTACTTCTTACCAGGAGTTTACGAGATGTTGAGAATTGAGGACTCTGAGAACATGATCAGCGAGAGTAAAGAAGAATAAGAAAAGAATTGGAATAAGAGGAAAAACGATAAAGTTAAAGATCCGTCATATCAAGGACCTCGAAAGACTCAGAGCTTCAAAAGAAGTGAAGCTAGAGCTAATTCTTCCAGCTGAGGTTTTAGTGCCACTGGTCAAAGGCGAAGTGATAGATTTACTGGTGACCCCAGATCTTAGAGACAAGGTGACTCTGGTAGAGGAAATGTACCTTTGTGCCGTAGGTACAATAATAGACACTTTGGAGAGTGTGGAAAGCAATGAATGCTACATATGGACAAATGGGACATAGAGCTGTATATTGTCCCCAGAAT